TAACTTAGATTAACACGATTTAACATTTTTACAGGATGGATGTTAACCACCTTAAGGAATGTATTACCAAAGCCAGAGAAGAAGGGGGTGTACCGTTCATCGTTTGTGCTACAGCAGGTATGTTAAATTGGTTAATATTAACATTGTGTCTGCTTAAACTGTCGAAATTAACCTCTTTTCTCATCAAATTAAGTTTAATCTATCTTCATTTCTGGTTAATTTAACTCATTTAACCTCTCAGTGACCTTAATTAACCCCGATAACGCAATTTAACCTGTAATTCAACCTTAATTAACCCTCACTTACCTTATTTACCCCACAAGCACCCTTATTTAACCTCCCAGTCGTCTTATTTAACCCCCAATTTAACGTTAATTAAACCCCCGCAGGTACGACAGTGTTAGGTGCTTATGACCCCATCGAAAGAGTGAGTCAGGTGTGTCAAATTGAAGGTCTGTGGTTGCACGTGGACGCCGCTTGGGGTGGTGGGGCGCTGCTGTCACCCTTACATAAACACAAACTGCGTGGCATTCACAGGTTAGATTAATTTAATATACCTGTGTTGTGTATGATTTTGTATACCCTGTACTGTCTAGGTATATTGTTTGTATACCTGTACTGTCTAGGTATATTGTTTGTATACCCTGTACTGTCTAGGTATATTGTTTGTATACCCTGTACTGTCTAGGTATATTGTTTGTATACCTGTACTGTCTAGGTATATTGATTGTATACCTGTACTGTCTAGGTATATTGTTTGTATACCTGTACTGTCTAGGTATATTGTTTGTATACCTGTACTGTCTGGGTATATTGTTTGTATACCTGTACTGTCTAGGTATATTGTTTGTATACCTGTACTGTCTAGGTATATTGTTTGTATACCTGTACTGTCTAGGTATATTGTTTGTATACCTGTACTGTCTAGGTATATTGTTTGTATACCTGTACTGTCTAGGTATATTGTTTGTATACCTGTACTGTCTAGGTATATTGTTTGTATACCTGTACTGTCTAGGTATATTGTTTGTATACCTGTACTGTCTAGGTATATTGTTTGTATACCTGTACTGTCTAGGTATATTGTTTGTATACCTGTACTGTCTAGGTATATTGTTTGTATACCTGTACTGTCTAGGTATATTGTTTGTATACCTGTACTGTCTAGGTATATTGTTTGTATACCTGTACTGTCTAGGTATATTGTTTGTATACCTGTACTGTCTAGGTATATTGTTTGTATACCTGTACTGTCTAGGTATATTGTTTGTATACCTGTACTGTCTAGGTATATTGTTTGTATACCTGTACTGTCTAGGTATATTGTTTGTATACCTGTACTGTCTGGGTATATTGTTTGTATACCTGTACTGTCTAGGTATATTGTTTGTATACCTGTACTGTCTAGATATATTATATAAATACCTACCTACCCACTTACCTATCTATCCATTTAATCCACCTATCCACCTATCCACAGAGCTGACAGCATTACCTGGAACCCACATAAGCTCCTGGCATCACCTCAGCAATGTTCAGTCTTCTTAACACGCCACGTTGGTCTGCTGAAGGACTGTAACTCTGCCAGTGCTGCTTACCTGTTCCAGAGGGTGAGTGAGAGAGAGAGAGAGAGAGAGAGAGAGAGAGAGAGAGAGAGAGAGAGAGAGAGAGAGAGAGAGAGAGAGAGAGAGAGAGAGAGGAGAGAGAGAGAGAGAGAGAGAGAGAGAGAGAGAGAGAGAGGGGGAGAGGGGGGAGAGAGAGAGAGAGAGAGAGAGAGAGAGAGAGAGAGAGAGAGAGAGAGAGAGAGAGAGAGAGAGAGAGAGAGAGAGAGAGAGAGAGAGAGAGAGAGAGAGAGAGAGAGAGAGAGAGAGAGGGGGGTGAGAGAGGAGAGAGAGAGAGAGAGAGAGAGAGAGAGAGAGAGGAGAGAGAGAGAGAGAGAGAGAGAGAGAGAGAGAGAGAGAGAGAGAGGGGAGAGAGAGAGAGAGAGAGAGAGAGAGAGAGAGAGAGAGAGAGAGAGAGAGAGAGAGAGAGAGAGAGAGAGAGAGAGAGAGAGAGAGAGATTTAACATAAACTATAGACATTTATTAACATCAAACATTTGTCTTCTTCCCAGGATAAATTTTATGACACTTCCTACGACACTGGCGATAAACATCTCCAGTGCGGGCGAAGAGCAGATGTTCTCAAGTTCTGGACGATGTGGAAGGCTAAGGTTAGTGTTTGATTAGATCAGGTTAAGTTAATCTCTGTTTTAACTTGAATTAATTTACTTTATCTCTCTCACTATTTGAATTCTCTTAAAACCTCACTCCTTTCCCACCCACCCACCCCCACCCACACCCACCCACACCCACCCACCCACCCACCCACACCCCCCCCACACACCCACTCCACCCACCCACACCCACTCCACCCACCCACTCCACCCCCACCCACCCACCCACCCCACTCAAACACCCTTCCTCTACCCCACAGGGCACAAAAGGACTCACCAAACATATCGAGAAGCTTTTCACCATGTCCAAGCTCTTCGCTGATAAGATACGGTCAAGAGACGGGTTCACACTCCTCTTGGAACCTGAATGTACTAATGTTTGTTTCTGGTACGCCCCACCTTCCCTACGAGGGCATGAGGACAACCCTGATTACACCACACGTCTCCATGCTGTGAGTACTTGTAATAATACCAGTGTGTGTGTGTGTGAGTTTTGAGTACATTGAAAAGACCCCCTCATAACTCAGATATATCTCCATAATTACTCACATAACTCAGATATATCTCCATAATTACTCACATAACTCATAAATATTTCACATAATTCAGAATATATCCATAATTACTCACATAACTCACAAATAAACCTAAATATCGACCCTAAAATGCGTCCAAAAGCAAACACTAATTCCCCTTTTCACTCACAGGTGGCGCCACGGATCAAGGAGAGGATGGTGAAGGAAGGTACAATGATGATAACGTATCAACCTCTACGGGAGAGACACAACTTCTTCAGGCTGGTCCTTCAGAACTCTCAGGTTAATGAAGATGATATTGATTACTTCGTCAGGCAGATAGAGATTCATGGTAGTGATCTATAAGCGCCCCACAGTGCCACATGACCTCAGTAATGAGTATAATTGACCTCTTAGTGCCATAGAGTCATCTGGGGCTCTCATTATTGACATCTAAAGCCCTCATAGACTCTTGATATTGACCTCTTAGTGCCATAGGGTCATCTGGGGCTCTCATTATTGACATCTAAAGCCCTCATAGACTCTTGATATTGACCTCTTAAGCCCTCAGTGCCATGGGGTCATCTGGGGCTCTATAATTGACCTTTAACGACCATTGACCCAATTGGGTATCCTAGTGATGACCTCAACAAGCATTAGGTAGTCATGTGACCATCAGAACTACCTTGGTATAGTGCCTTTAGGGTGCCATACGACCCTCAGAGTTTAATAAAGACCTCGAGGCTTCTGTACGACCTCCAGAAGCCCCCACAACGACCTCAAGGCTTCCGAATGATCACTAAATAACTTCAGAGGCTTCCATGCATCAACAGAAGCCCCCACAACGACCCCAAGGCTTCCGAATGATCACTAAATAACTTCAGAGGCTTCCATACATCAACAGAAGCCCCCACAACGACCTCAAGGCTTCCGAATGATCACTAAATAACTTCAGAGGCTTCCATAACATCAAACAGAAGCCCCCACAACGACCTCAAGGCTTCTGACTGATCACTAAATAACTTCAAGGCTTCCCATACATCAACAGAAGCCCCCACAACGACCAAAGCTTCCTGAATGATCACTAACAACTTCAGAGGCTTCCATACATCAACAGAAGCCCCACACCACCTCACAAGGCTCTGAATGATCACTAAATAACTTCAGAGGCTTCCCATACATCAACAGAAGCCCCCACAACGACCTCAAGGCTTCCGACTGATCACTAAATAATCAGAGGCTTCCTATACATCAACAGCTCCCACAACGACCTCAAGGCTTCCGGAATGACTATCACTAACAACTTCAGAGGCTTCCATACATCAACAGAAGCCCCCACAACGACCTCAAGGGCTTCCTAATGATCACTAAATACCCCAGAGGCTTCCATACATCAACAGAAGCCCCCACAACGACCTCAAGGCTTCCGAATGATCAACAACTTCAGAGGCTTCCATACATCAACAGAAGCCCCCACAACGACCTCAAGGCTTCCGAATGATCACTAAATAACTTCAGAGGCTTCCATACATCAACAGAAGCCCCCACAACGACCTCAAGGCTTCCGAATGAACACTAAACGACTTCAAAGGCTTCCACACGACCACCTCAAGAGATGGTCAGCTTCTTCATGAGAGGAGAAAAAGACGACTATAACGACCCCTACTGATACACCACGACCCCTACTGATACACCACGACCCCTGAAACCTCAACTATCAAGGGGTCGTAATATCACCAGTCCCTATGTTAAATTTTCCTCCTAACTGGTGATGTGGAGAACGTATCTAACCGACTCCACTTAACCAAAAAGGGCGGATCCAGGAATATAAAAAGGGGGTCCAAGAAGTTGTGGGTGGGGGAGGAAAGGGGGTGGAAAAGGGGGGTGTGCTGTAAGTTCCCAGAAAAATTGTTTGAAATCTGACCAATATCAAGGCCATTTTAATGCCATGTGCACTTGATATTAATGAAAAGAAGTGAGAATTATCCACCAGGAAGTCGAAAATCAAAACCAAAATGAATAATCTAACCAAAATCTATTATTAAGTGAGATTAACTAAAAAAAATAATATATATTTTTACTCCTATAACATTACGATTTATATAACATTAAAATTATAGAGAATTATATTTTAATAAACATTAAAAAAAAATTATTATATTTTATCAATAAATTTGTATATATTAAAATATATATTATTATTTAGAATATAAATGATGTATAGTAATTTATATAAGAATGCAGTATTATCATTTCAAAGTATTATACAAATTATATATACTTTTAAAACTATTGGGATTTTGTTTTTATATGTGCATGAAAGTCTAAGTATTTTGAGGTATTATAAAAGTCTATAAAATATGTTTATGAGGCTTTAGTTTTATAAGTCTCAGTTGGACCTTTAATAGTAACTGATGGCTTTGCTATAAGACTGTCGGATGATGTTTAGCGCAGGAAATAGTGACAATACAGGTGTTTTCCCGCCAAAATACAACATTACAGGTGTTTTCCCGCCAAAATACGACATTACAGGTGTTTTCCCGCCAAAATACGACATTACAGGTGTTTTCCCGCCAAAATACGACATTACAGGTGTTTTCCCGCCAAAATACGACATTACAGGTGTTTTCCCGCCAAAATACGACATTACAGGTGATTTCCCGCCAAATTTACCAGAAAACTATCAAATACAAATGTTTCCCGCCAAAAATAACCTGAAAATTTTGGCATAAATAAAAACCATCAAAAACGACAAAAATCTGCCCAAATACACCAGAAAATAGTATTAATCCTAAGGTATTAATTCTTCCCAATACATATCATACAAAACATGTATATTTTCATACATACATCATGCTGTGCATTATGTATAAAATATTTTTTTTTCCATTCATATGTTATCCTACCATCTGGGAGTTCATTGATTTATTAAAATATATATAAAATCGTTGTTTGACTTTTCTTAATAAAATTTAATTCTTGGGATATTTTCTTTTTTAAATTACGAATAATAATAATAATGTAAAGAGAATAATGAGAGAGAGAGAGAGAGAGAGAGAGAGAGAGAGAGAGAGAGAGAGAGAGAGAGAGAGAGAGAGAGCAATATGACCACAACTATACATATGAACTAACCATTACATACCTAACTACAGGTACACTAATTACACCAACTAATTAAAAACAGGTATACTAATTAACCCAACTAATTAACAACAGGTATACTAATTAACCCAACTAATTCAATTAACTACACCTAATTACAGCAATACACTAAGTACCTTCCCTAACTGCTTCCCTGAAATCATTTAAGGGAGATCTATTAAATGTATCTTTTCAAATACAGTACATTAGAAACATCAAATACTTTTCAAATACTTTCCAAATACATTAGAAACATCAAATACTTTTCAAATATATTATAATGGTTTCAGAAACACTTAGCACTGTAACCTGTGTTCATAAAGGCTGCAACACACTTATAATGGTTTCAGAAACACTTAGCACTGTAACCTGTGTTCATAAAGGCTGCAACACACTTATAAAAATTACAGAAACACTTATAATTGTTACAGAAACACTTAAACACTGTAACCTGTGTTCATAAAGGCTGCAACACACTTATAAAAATTACAGAAACACTTATAATGGGTACAGAAACACTTAACCACTGTAACACATTTATTACAGGTGATTAGTTACATCAGCATTAGTATTGTATCATGCACCAACTATAACTGAGCGACCAATAGGAAGCTTTTAAACCACTCAGCACCTTCCTGATTCGTCAACACACAGGGAATATGGTAAACAAATAAGACTCGTTTGTTTTGGTATGCGTGGAACCTCGTTTTGATCGGGTGTTTGGATTTGTGTAGGTCGATGAATGTTAGAATTTGATCGAGTTTTGTTTGTGTAGTTCGGTGAATGTTAGAATTTGATCGAGTTTTGTTTGTGTAGTTCGGTGAATGTTAGAATTTGATCAATTTTTTTTTGTGTAGATTAGAACGTCAGAATCCCAGTTACAAGGACCGAGCATTGTTGTTTGCAGAAAGATCGAAGAATGAGAAACATCATCTAAGACGTCTTTTGTGTGTTTGAGGAGGTCGGTGAATGTTAGAATCTTGCCTAGAACGTTGTGTCGTGTATGTTGATTTTTCACCACAGCCAGATAACCCAACATGAAATACTGTAGTCCCTCGCAGATAAGACTCCACGTCGGTTTGGGGTTACAGTGAGTTACACGAACCGGTGCGTGTTGAATCACCCGACGTCACGGATTCCTAGGCTAACATCCGCCGGTATTGGCTGCGTCATCGTGAAGTAAAATCCAGAGACCAAAAGCATAGTCCTATCGGCACATGAGGTCGGTTTAACTTGAAGGCCATTACGCGCTGTCTGATTGGTCACTACTAACGTATTCCGAACTATCCGCCAAGCCAGTTCAACGTTAAAACTACCATCGATATCCACCTGGTGACTTGCGAATTTCTTGTGTATATAACGCTATGATTTCGTATTCGTCTGTTACCGTGAAAATATATTTATAAATATATTTCATCCAAGAAACGAAACAAATATTCCATAAAAATTTCACAAAATAACTTACACACTTAACTCTTTTATTTTATTACTATTTTTGTTATATATTTAAAAAATAAAGCATCGGAAAAAGAGGCTACGTTAGCCCCACAAACTCAAAGAGGCTTAGATCCCAACGCAAACTTATTCTACGCTGAATAGAAATGAACCTATCAAATTGACCTGCTGACTAAGCCCCGCCTACTTGTTGGTTTCCATAGCGACCACCACACTATAATAGTCTCTGATTGGTCGTTGGTAGCTAGGTGAGTTGTGCCACCACCCCTATTGGTAACCCGACAGCCAATCAATTCCCAGGGAATGTGATGGGTGTTATGGTAACCAAAAGTGGGTGGAGCTTAGTGGAACTTTTTTTAAGTACCAACAGCCAATCACAGTGGAGGATGATGGTGTGTGGCAGATGGTGAGGACGACACCATCACCAGCTATTAACACCATAATCACCATCAGAGTGTGACCATCACCATCAGAGTGTGACAGCCAGTAAGGACACCATCAGCACCATCAACAGGTCAACTACAGACAAAACTCAACACATAACGATGACTTAATGAAGATATAGATAGAGTAGAGTACCGTAGAGTACCTTAGAGTACCATAGAGAACCGTAGAGTACCTTAGAGTACCGTAGAGTACCTTAGAGTACCGTAGAGTACCTTAGAGTACCACAGAGTACAGTAGTAAGCAAACAGTCCATAATCTGGCAGGATTGTATTAATTTTAATGAAGTCTTTCAAAACCAACAATGAATGAACAAGTTGAAATCATATGAAGAAAAAATCGCATAGCGACAGAGCAGTGTTTCATAACTAGCACACACACTGGGGCCCACAGAGCAGTGTTTCATAACTAGCACACACACTGGGGCCCACAGAGCAGTGTTTCATAACTAGCACACACTGGGGCCCACACACTGTTTCATAACTAGCACACACACTAGCACACACTGGGGCCCACACACTGGGGCCCACAGAGCAGTGTTCCATAACTAGCACACACACTGGGGCCCACAGAGCAGTGTTTCATAACTACCACACACTGGGGCCCACACACTGGGGCCCACAGAGCAGTGTTCCATAACTAGCACACACACACTGGGGCCCAGCGTGTGATATACTTGTTATTTAAGCGAGCTAAATATATCATTATATACAAAAACAATAATTCAGGATAAACAAAAACATTTATTTGTTCAGGGAGGCAAATTTGATCGGTGTTTACGACAGTTGATATAACCCGACGTTCGTGACGGTCCGCCGCTCGGGGGGTTTCGTGGTGATCGTAAACCTCGGCAAAACACGAGGGTATTCATCAACCCCCGTCGACACTCGTTAGCGGGTCAAGTCGGGGGATTTAACGCGGCGCGACGTAGTTCTCGACCCTTACCGTGTAAAGTAAACATTAAATAATTATAACGACAAACTCCATTAATAAATCAACCATTAAAATGAATCAGTTTAAAGATTCATCATAAGTGAATATTTAAACCAGAATCATTTTTCAGTAGTTGATATATTAGTAATTTAGTCCTTATATTTATTCCACAGAGAGACTAAACTACCTCACGTCTCTATAACCCCTCAAATGACCTCTTAAATAGACCTAATTGACCTATAAACTATGCAGGAATATATATAATTATAGGAGAGGAGGTAATGCTAGCAAGGCAGCCATGAGGATTGTGTTTCGCCTTCCCCAGTCTACCATCAGGCGAGCCACCATACACATGGGTCAAAAGGTCACTTCTCTAGGGTCAAAAGGTCACTTCTCTACACACCTACAAGTCCAGCCCATGTTAAGGTCAGAGGTCAATGTAAAGTTTTAGGTCAAAGGTCAATGTAATGTTAGGTCAGAGGTCAATGTAAAGGATTAAAAAAAAAGCAACAAAATTCACTGGATTGGTTAAAATTATATAAAAATTAATTAATCTTCCAAGTGTTTGCACCCTATAAGTGGCTGAATGGAGTTCGGTTATATCGTAAATCCCGAGTTTAAGGGCATATTTCCGGGGTATATCGTGGATGCTGAATAGTTTAAGGGCATACGTCCGGGTTATATCGTGGATGCCGGACGGGTTAAGGGCATAAAAGCCGAGTTTTGGTGCAATGCGTTGCTTGTGGGCACCTGAGCTTGGGCCCCCACACAGCGTCTTGTGCCGACAGCGTAAACACAATCTAGTACGGTATCAACGATCTCATAAATGGCGAGAGCTAACAGACGTGGTGGGGGAGGGGGGGGGGAGGAAGGGAAAAAAATAAATCGAGCGGCGGAAACGAAACAATTACTTCGATTTACCTCGATGGGGCGTTTCCTCACTCCGCCCTCGACTGCATTAATCACGTGAATATTAACCGATAAACAAAGATATAACAGTGGCAGTGATGACCCCATAAGAAAAAAAAATAACCCAATTCCACGAGGCATAAAAGGCATCTAAGTTAATTAATACAATAATACATTATAATTCATGTCGTTAACAACACCAGGTAATACAACATGACCTGTGGAAATAAATTTAACATTGATAAACCCGATGAAAAAATGAACATACAGGATTTTTTTTTTATTATTTGTCAAGTAAAAAAAAAAAGGAATTTGATTTATACGATAGTTCTTCTCCCCGCCTGAAGACAAACAAATTGCCTATACCATAAAGCTCATACGAAACAATTATTTACATTTTATTTTTCCCGGGATATGGAAAAAATCAATTAACTCTCTTCCTTCAAACACTCAAGGTACGGAAATGGAAAAAAAAAACCATCATAGTCGTTTATCTCAGGATGAGAGTGGAGCTTCAAACACCGATCTACCGTAACTGTATATAAGCTTGAGTGAGTGAGTGTGTGGTGACCGCTCGAGTATAAGTGAAGGGAATTTGATCTCGTGTCGATGGGTTTCAGTTCGATCTGTGGTCCAATAAGGTTTGAGTCTTTTAGGTAAAGGGATTGAAGTCTATTAAATTCTATTCAATGCTCAATAGAATCTACCAAACATATCCGATCTGGTTAAAATTGAAAGGAATTACTCAAATACTCTCCGACGCCAACTAGAGATGGATTCAGGACTGTTCATTGGAGACTGAACGGTGTAATTTCTGTTCATCAATGACCGAGAACGATGCAAATTCTGTTCACCCGAGACTGAGAATGTTACAAAATCTCTTCGTCCTATACTATAAGAGGTAACTAAATATCCTTCAAGTTTAAATCTATATAAGCGAAGTATTTTTTTTCCTTTAAACATCATGATAAGCTGCAATACTCAAAAGCACGCAGGGTCAAAGATCACAAAACAACGCTTCGGTTAGACTGGGGGGGAATTTAGCGCACAATCCATCTCCCGGCAAAGGGGGGCGTCTACCTCCGCGTTGTTTTTATCCGTTAAGCAAAATATTAAAGGAATTTAGGCACTTGGCAGCAGTGTTACCAGACGAGGCAGATTGTCTTAGTAAATAGTGAAAAAAAAAAGCTATGCAAATATATAATAATTTTTTTTTTTTTTACAGATTGAAATTGGCAAAAAAATTCAATAATATTCTCAATGATTCACAATATTAAACAGACTTAGGGGTTTGTAACTGTAACCTGCACTGTAACCTGCACTGTATTACAAAATATCATCCGTGTGTTTGTTTGTAATCCTGATACAACACTGTAATACACAAATACAGTCATGTGATTCTTTTGTTTTTTGTTATCTCGGCACAGTTACACAATTATGATCTTTATTCACAGTTTATACAATCTATACATTATACATCGTGGGAAATTAACACGCGATGGAGTTTATTCCCTGGTAAATAAACGACGGAACCTCGATATAACGGACTTTCTCGATCTAACGGACTAACATCTCACGTACTGGTCTGCTAAATCGAGGTTCCGCCGCTTACCATCGCCTCACCCCAGAGAAAGACCTCTAGCATGGGGTCATCGTTGTTGTTGTCTGTTTAAACGCGGAATCACGATCGAAGCGTTATTAAAATCCTCAACTCAATATAACCAAAAGAAGGGGGAGGGGGGGGGGTATAGAGAGGGTGTAAGGGGTAAGGGAAAGGGGGGGGTAGGGGGACAATATGGCAACACTGCAGAAAAGAAAAGGTATTGTTTACATAAGCTTCTGTTTAGCACACTCTGGGCATAGGATATCCGCCCCGTCGGTGATGAAACCTTTCCCGACCAGAGATCCCTTGCATACGGCACAGATAAAACAGTCGTTGTGCCAATGTCTGTCCTCGAAGGAGATGAAGCGAGTGCCACCGATGCCTGTTGAGGAGAGAGAGGTTGTAGAGCGAGGCGAGGAGAGAGAGAGACACAAGAATTGAGTTTTGGTTGATTGGTTGGTGGTGATTGTCGAGATTTTTGGTGGTGTCGTCCAGGATCTGCTAGACTAGGTTAGGTCATCCTAGCATTGACATGGTTATCCTAGCATTGATATCATCTCAGATCTGCTAGACAGATCTGCATTATGGTTATCCTAGCATTGATATCATCTCAGATCTGCTAGACTAGGTTAGGTTATCCTAGCATTGATATCATCTCAGACACTAGGTAGGTATCCTAGCATTGATATCATCTCAGATCTGCTAGACTAGGTTAGGTTATCCTAGCATTGATATCATCTCAGATCTGCTAGACTAGGTTAGGTCATCCTAGCATTGACATGGTTATCCTAGCATTGATATCACCTCAGATCTGCTAGACTAGGTTAGGTCATCCTAGCATTGACATGGATATCCTAGCATTGATATCATCTCAGATCTGCTAGACTAGGTTAGGTCATCCTAGCATTATGGTTATCCTAGCATTGATATCATCTCAGATCTGCTAGACTAGGTTAGGTCATCCTAGCATTGACATGGATATCCTAGCATTGATATCATCTCAGATAGACTAGGTTAGGCTAGACTAGGTTAGGTCATCCTATTGATATCATCTCAGATCTGCTAGACATGGTTATCCTAGCATTGATATCACCTCAGATCTGCTAGACTAGGTTAGGTCATCCTAGCATTGACATCACCTCAGATCTGCTAGACTAGGTTAGGTCATCCTAGCATTGACATCACCTCAGATCTGCTAGACTAGGTTAGGTCATCCTAGCATTGACATCATCTCAGATTTGCTATGTTAATGCACATCAACTCAACACTAACCTAACCTAACCTAACAATAGATTCTTAATTGATTGGATGTATATAATTAAAATCACAATAAATTACTTAAAATCACAATAAATGACCTTAAATCACAATAAATTACTTTAAATAACAATAAATGACCTTATATCACAATAAATTACTTAAAATCACAATAAATGACCTTAAATCACAATAAATTACTTAAAATCACAATAAATGACCTTAAATCACAATAAATGACCTTAAATCACAATAAATGACCTTAAATCACAATTAATTACTTAAAATCACAATAAATGACCTTAAATCACAATAAATTACTTAAAATCACAATAAATGACCTTAAATCACAATAAATGACCTTAAATCACAATAAATGACCTTAAATCACAATAAATCATTGCCAATTACACATAAAATAAAAAAAATCATAAATAATTAATTACATAAACACTGTATTTAATCACCTCCAGTAATTGAGTGGATTATGGGTGAGCCTGGTATCGAACTAGTGACTTTTGGTACAGTAAATGAGAACAGTAACCACTCAGCCACAATAGCTATTTTTACAAGCACCATCTTACAATACAGTCAAGAATACAGTTACATAACCTAACCTAACCTGATGTAACCTGACCTGACCTGACCTCACAATAGTCAGAAATACAGTTATAGAATGAGATTACCTGACCTGACCTGATATAAGCAAACCTAATCTAATCTAACCTAACTATACTTTTTTCATTAATAAACTTTTTACAATTATATGACAACTTTTCACATTTTTTTTACAACTTTTTACAATTTTTTACAACTTTTTAACAAAATTTACAACTTTTCAATTTTTTACAACTTTTCACACTTTTTACAACTTTTCCCAATAAATTCACTACTTTTTACAATACTTTACTACTTTTTATACAACTACTTAACTACTTTTCTAACTTAGAAAACTAGTTTCCCGAATTCGCTACTTTTCTCAATTACTTTACTTTCAATTACTTTTCCCCACTAACTACCTATACTTTCACGAATTACTTAACTACTATATACTTTCAAACTACTTAATTACTTAACTAATATTATAAGTGCTTGATAGTAATGCAAATTGGTGCTTTAACTTAGGGGTCACTTATATACTTTTTTAAATTATTACTTTTTTCAGGTGCAACAAAAAGTAACAATTGCTTCTATATTAAATGACTCTAAACTACTGTACTTAACAACCCTTTGTGCTTGTTTAGTGGTTAAATACACGTAGGTTGATATTTTGGTTAATTTAATATATTTGGGGTTAAATTTTATGTTGTAAGTTGGTTAGGTTTGGTTAGGATGGCCAGGGTACGATGGTCAGGGTAGGATGGCCAGGGTACGATGGCCAGGGGAAGACAGAGACAGAGACAGTAGTTAAGATAGAGACAGTAGTTAAGATAGAGACAGTAGTTAAGACAGAAACAACTAACCAGTGATGGGCTTGGTACAGGCGGTGCAGCGCTTCGCAAACAGCTCCCCGAAGCAATCCGCGCAGTACGGCTTGTCGTCCCTGGAGGTGAAGCGTTGACCAGCCAGGGAAGCATCACAGTTGGTGCAGGTGAAGCACTCACGATGCCAAGGGTCGTTCTTGTAGGTCACACCGCCAGAGGTAATGATCTGGAATGGGTCGTTAGTCGTGTTAGAAACGGGTTTTTTTTTTGGAGGGGGGATTTTAGTGTATGGCCTCTCTCTCATACACCCACACAGCACCTACACAACACCCCCTTACACCCACAGAGTACACAGATACACCCACAAACCACCCACACCACCCTACACCCTGCCACATCCTCCTACACTTAACACAGCGGATAGCAAACTTTCTCCTCATAGTACAGAGATAAACACCCCACACACACCCCCTCCCACACCCACACACACCCCTTTCCCACACCCACACACACCCTCTTCCACACTCCACACACACCCTTCCCACACCCACACACACCCCTCCCCACACCCACACCCACACCCTCCCACACCCACACACACACCCCTCCCACACCCCACACCCACACACCCCTCTACACCACCCTCAACCCACACACCCCCACACCACCCCACACCCACACATACCCCTCTACACCCACTAACCACCCACACACCCCCTCCCCACACACCCACACACACCCTCTACACCACCCCTCGACCCACACACACCCCCACACCACCTCGACCCACACACACTCCTCCCACCCTCTACACCCACACATACCCCTCCCACACCACCCTACACCCACACACACCCCTCCCACACTCCTCTACACCCACACATACCCCTCTACACCCACTAACCACCCACACACACACTCCTCCCACACTCACCTTGCTACACTTAACACAGCGGGTAGCAAACTTCTCCTCATAACAGGCGGCGCAGTAGATTTCCTGATCGCGAGGAATGAAACTCTTGGTGCCAATAGCAGTCTTGCACACACAGCAGCAGAAACATTTCTCATGCCACTGTCGAGCTTTGTATTCCATCTTCTTGTTGC